TTCATGTGTTCAAATAGCTGCAAGAAGAGACGACATCGCCGTGTGTGCTCTTTTTTGTGGTTTTTAAAAATTTACTTTTATTTTTGATGATTTCTCTATTTGTTGTCTGATCAAAATGATGAACAAATTGCATTAATTGATTATACACTATGTCTTTTAATATCATATTGCTATATTTATTCGATTTGATTTTCCATAAACATTCGTGTGGTTTGTAGTTTTAAAAAATTTCTTTAGACCAGGAATCCATCAGAATAAATCTCACAATAATCGTACTGCACTTTAAAAAACGTGAATAAAGAATAGATCGAGACCGGCACAATAATGTAATATAACATATAGCATAACCAACAACGCAATAGGTCTACACACAAGTCAAGGCTGTGGTGAGTTTGGAGGGGGGTGGGGGAGGGGGGGGGTACATGGTGGCGCATGACGGCATGACAAGAAATCAAACAAAACTTGGTCATTTTCCTGCCAAGCCGATTGGAGCCAATTTGCTTTCGCCAAACTCCAAGAAATCACACACACACACACACACACACACACACACACACACACACACACACACACACACACACACACACACACACACACACACACACACACACACATACACACACACGCACCTACAATACGAATGGACCAATCGGCTTGCGTCAAGTAGAAATGTCAGTTCGGATTGCAGGTGTGGGGTTGGTGTTGTGGACTGGAGTGTCTGTGGACTGCCTGCCCACCCTGAGAAGGGGCCAACCATGTTGAGGACAGGAGGGTTCTAGGAGTTTTTATGAGGCTGGATGACCTAACTGCCCTGTGACCGTGTAAGTGGCGTCGGTGGCCTAGTGGTTAGGCTCTCGAACTCGCAACCGTAAGGTCGTGGGTTCGAATCCCGGCAGGGGCCCGACGTTGTGTCCTTGGGAAAGGCACCTTACACGAATTTTCCCCACTTCACCCAGGTGGGAATGGGTACCCGGCTATAGACAGCGAAAGATCTTGTCAGTTTGTTAGTGTATGAGCGCTTTATCAGCTGCTTGAACTGTATGCTTCCCGGGAAGCTGAGAATGTTTCTGAGTGTTCTATGGTCTGCTGGGGTAATAATATAGTGTAAAGCGCATAGAGCCTGCTGTTGAGTGGGGATATGCGCTATACAAATGCTATTTATTATTATTATTATTATTATTATTATTATTATTATTATTAATTCCGGTAGGGTTCACGTTGCCCATTCCCCGCCACCAATGGCTACTGGCTAAAGGTTGAGGTCGGCTTTAGATACATACTCGAGAAAGCAATACATGTAGATCCATATGTTTATTCTAACAGGAGCCATATAATTATAACAGATGGTGAAAAACTTCTTTTGTATCTTTCTATTTTTGTTTTCAGCATGTACATGTACATATATTATATATATTTGCCGTTGTGTGATGTTACAATCTGTGTGGAAATGGGGTGTGATGGGTCGTTTATATTGCTGTTTATCATGTTTATACATGACACAGAAGGTAAGTAATACATACATGGCATAGCACATTATATCCCGATTGTTTGTGCGAGACTTGGTCCATGACTAGCTGCAACATTTTATAGATTCTGATGTTAGCAGAAAGAACCATGTCCGGAGTTTTGGAGGCGTTTTATCCATGTTCTAAAACAACAACAATATCAACAACAACAACGACAACAACAACAACAACATCAACAACAACAACAACAATTTAGACACAATAAAAGCAATGTGCTCTTTTGGTGACTGACATCTTTTCTTCTTTGTACCGTCCTTGATTGTTCAATGTCTTAGGAGAATACCATTGGGAAGAGTTCCAATGTCCGTAATATTGCTAAACATTACACACCTCAACTGTTTGATTCTTTCCGTAAATGAACGTACTTAATGTATCTTTCTCGATTTTTATTTTTAACAAATAGATTTTCTTTTACAAATAAACTTTGCCCAAATTATAATGATTTGTCTTGCACATACAACCGATTTCATAGATACACAAGCTGCAATTAAAAATGAGAACAACAATTTGGGCTACGTACAGTATGTGAACAGATACTGACGATAATTATTTTGTCTCTGGGTAGAAAATACTCACAGTAGACAGAGGAAGTGAACAATTTCATGGGAACCTCCCACTGACCTTAGTAATAATAATGTTATGCTTAATCGTTATCATGACACTCAAATTGACAAAAAATGTAATTCTTCAGTAATTATCTCCCCTGACGACTCTCTCTCTCTCTTTCTCTCTCTCTCTCTCTGTGTCTCTCTCTCTCTCTATCTCTCTCTCTCTCTCTCTCTCTCTCTCTCTCTCTCTCTCTCTCTCTCTCTCTCTCTCTCTCTCT